TTAATAATTGTGATAATTAAATATAATAATTCTAAACTTACTAGCCAGTCCAACCCACGTTGGGTCAAATTAGATTAGGCTGGGTCTGATCCTTAATATATATATATATATATATGTATGGTAAATATTTTTACAACTACTATTTATAATGATGTTCTCCCAGGAGAACATAGTTACAACATTAAAGTTGCATTTTTCTCTTTCTCTCCACGTCAGCAAACAAGATATGAAAAATAATTGAGGAGAGAGAAAAAAAATAACTTTAATGTTATAACTATGTTCTTCCGGAAGAACATAGTTATAAATGGTAGCTGTAGATAACCTTATCTAAAGTGGCTGTAGAAATTTCTTATATATATATATATGTGTGTGTGTGTATGTGTGTGTGAAAAATGTTTGTCATTTTAAATGAAATAAAATTATATCATTTCAAGAAGAGATAGACACAAGAAAATATTTTTTTATTTAAAATTTAAATTAAAAAAAACCACTCAATTTCTCTGTCATGATTTTCATTCCTTGTGTCTATCTCTCTCTTAAAATGACATAACTTATGTCATTTAAAATGACAAACATCAAACTTATATATATATACAGTGTTAGGATCATTTTGCACCGGTGTAAGTTACACTCTTAATCTTAACCGTAGATCCCACTTATATCCAAGGGCTCTAACTTTTTAGTAATATGAGTCATTGTATATATTGGCTTTGTAAATTTTTTTTTTGAAATATTAAAGCATGAGTAAACAATAATATAGTTTTTTGTTTGGCAATGAAATATGAAACTTTACATAGATGAAACTTTGTTGATGAGATGTGACTAGATTTTTTTTTTGGATTTAGTTGATGGGTAAATCGATTTTGGGTTTAGAATTTTTTGAGCTATGATTGAGGAAAGGTCCAAGTGGAATTAATACATTGGATCGGTTTGGATTGGATCGGTTTGGATTGGATCGGTTTTCATCAATCAATCCGAAAACCGATCCAATCCAATTAAATTTCGCGGTTTTTTTTCGATTTTCGGTTTTCAATTTATTCGGTTATCGATTTTTGATTCGGTCACTGCGATTTGAATCGATTTTGATCGGTTGATGAAAATTCTAGTCTCTGCACGTTTTTCGGGTTATTCGACTAATCTTTCTACCTGTACTTGATTGACCAGAAGAATAAAGAAACCAATTACGTATTATTCAATGTGCATCTCAACTGGTAGCCGTAGATGACACTACGGTGCAAGCTGTATTGGAGGTTGATAATATTTTCTTCTTTTTATACGGTGCCCTTAATTTATATTATACATCCATCTAACACATTTAATTTAACAAGGCATTTTTAAGCAGATGGATGCTCTCATCAAATTATGTTTTACTCTTCTTTTTTTATTACTGGAGGCATACATTTCTGTTTTAAGTTTCCTTAATAAACAGTTTTTTTTTCTTCATATTGAAGAGTTAGATCTTCTTGCTTTCAAGAATGCGGGTCAAGATCTATCTCTTAAAAAAAAAACTAAAGAGAGAGATACACAACGAATAATAAGATGTACTCTCGTAATATCCAACTCAGTGCATCATCTTTCTATATAAAGAAATTTTTATCTTATTTCAAATGTTTTTTTGCTATTTTCCTTTAAGTCCTTATTATTTTATTTTATTTTAGAGGGATATACCATACATTTATAGCACAGAAAAAGATCTCGTGCATTAGATGTATCCAACTGAATATATCTTTTTTCATATTTAAAAAAAAAATTCATCACTTTTAAAAAAAAATTCCCATCACATTAAAAAAAAATCTCTTTTTTTAAAAAAATATATATCTAATTAAATACATGTAATGCACCAAAATTTTATTCGTATCAAGATATTTTCTTGCCCTTGATGAAGGTCTAATCTGTAGACTCTAGCTAGCTAATCACAGTAACAGTAAGTAAGTTTTTATAGTATTCAACTATTCATTCAATAATACGACACATATGAAAAATACCAAGTGGTCAATCCATGCTTAACAGGGTATCGAATAATCTGACATTATTTGCCTTACCTAATGCGTAAGAGTTGGTTTCTTAATGAATGTGTTGTCACATGGCTATGCTTTGAAGATATGGAAAATTTTTAGGAAAATTTTATGTTGCAGTAAGAAATAAATATTATGTTGTAAAAAAAAATTTAGAACATGTCATAGAGACAACTAATTGTGGGGTCTATTATTTTTAAAATAAAAAAAGTAAAAGAATTGATTGACCCACTTTTATGTCTGTGTAGGAAAATTACTTGTATCATGTAAAAGGAGAAAAACATTACCCTTGAAGATATGTTTTAGTTTCACACTTGTTTTTTCTTTCGTTTTTTGAAATTCATTATTTTGCTATTAATTTTAAGCATTTTTTTAGATAATTATCCTGTTAAAGTGCAAATGATATGGATTTAGAATTCAGAATTTAAAATGTAGAAAACTGACGATGTCTCTATTTGAATTTGTGCAATTAACTATAAGGATGAAATTAAAAATAGTGAAATATGGAGCTACAACATTTGGGAAAGAATCAAGACTTCTATTGAATCCCATTCATCTTCACTAGCTGTATCTTCCTTGCATTTTCCGATCATTTCCATTACACTTACGTGGTTAAATCTGTACTTGCGAGTAAATCTTCTAACAAATACTTTATTAGAGTTAAGCTTTCTTCCTTCACTTAAGAGATTAAATCAGACTCACTCATTGACCAAGACGAGGGTAATGAGATATGAGTCAATGGTTCAACCAAATAGTCACTGATTAAATCAGTTGATCTAGGTAAATATATACAAATTTATATTTTATGCTTAAAAATTTAATGTAAATCCAAAATAAAGTGCTTTCACATTAGTTTCTATAAGAAAGTTGCCAAATTTATTATGTATCTTACGCATCAAATTTTATAAATTGTGCAAAACTTGGGAGGTTATTTGATTCAAGACACACTATTTTGATGTAGACAAGTTATAGGATAGTAATCTTGATTGGACAAATCTACACTTGGGAATTTGGAGTTTTTAAAATGAATATTTTAAAAATATTTTATTAAAAAGCCACACCTGAATTTTCTACTATTCAAGACAAGACAAACCAAAAAAATATTTTATTAAGGATTTTATTTTTAAAATGAAATTTGGAGTTTTTCTACATAAAAGTAAGGAAAATTAAATTGAAAAAATGAAAACCATGAACACTTGGTCATAGGCATTAAAGTGGTACTTGTATACAATGCGAAGAAAGTGATAGCGTTGGAATAAGGACGAGACTAAAAATACATTATTGTGGTTGGAAACAATCTTCAAGGCGGCAAGGTGAAGAGACTCGAGTTTAGAGCTATTTGCCTTGTGGAATAAAGAGAAGATGAGAATCAACGATTGGAGAGGGGAAGTGTTGGAGCCCGTGGCGGACCCAAACAATTTTATTTATGTCTGCACATTTACAGATGGAGTTCGGTGGCAACGCCCCCAAATTTTTTTTTAAAGATAGTTTTAAATATATTAAAAAACAAAAAGAATATAAATAAAAAAGGAAAGAAAACAGGAACTTACTATAAAAATAAAGTACATTTTGAGTCCTCAACAAAAATTACGGGACCCAATTTAATCCTTAAAAAAAATTGACTCGTGATCCCTTTGAATTTCAAAATAAATTCATGTTAGTCTTTTTGAGGGACTAATGTAGGTCTTCTTTGAATTTTAGAAAAATCACAATTTCGACTAACCGGGTCTATTTTGGAATTCAGAGGGACTGAGAGTCGTCTTTTTTTCTAAGAGATTAAATTGGGCCCTGTAATTTTAATTTTTGTTGAGAACACAGAATATACTCTCTCTCTTTTTTCCCCAAAAATTTACTTGCACCAATACAGGTCCGCCCCTAGTTGAAGCAAGTGATGGAACTATCAAATATGAGTAAGGGTTTCATTTTGGAGGAGTTTTGATTTTTCAAAATTTTGGGATCAAATTGACATATTTTTTTTTAATACATTACAAGTTGATTTTTTGGTGACTCGACCACGTCACCAATTCCATTACATAACCTGTTTATTACTTTGTTTGAATCGATTAGGTCACCAATTCACTTGATTTGGATCAATCTGGCCGATTCAAGCCGAATTTAATAACATTACTTAGGAGTGCAACTGACTTATTATCATATCTAATTATTGATATTAAATTCAGTTTTAATGTTGTGCTGCACTTATTAAAGTAGTTAATGCAATTAATTCAAATGTGAAGATATCGTTATAAATATAAATTGAAATTATTTTTAAAACTTTAGTTTTGTGTTAAAAAATTGATAGAGAGATTTTTGTTGACTAATTGAATAATTAATGAATCTGTGAAAAATAAATAATAAATAAATAATAATTATTTTAAAAAATGTATGGTATAATTATATTTTCAAATTAGTTAGACTAATGAAAATTTTTAAATCAGTATTCTACCATTAGTCAAAATATTAATTTGTTTTTTATTTTCTCAATATTAACTCCTTTTCCGTCTAACTTTACATTTTGCAACTAAATTTACCAAGCAAGTAAATTGCCAAAGTTTTCTCATGTCTATTAGTTTTTGTAACCAAATAGTGACAAATACAAGATTTTCATGCGAAACGAAGTGTAAAAACCGGAAATTGCCATGATGATGACTCGAATGAAGGAAAAGAAGAGCCCATTATTGTGCCCAAAGCCCAAAACAAAAATAAAAGAAAAAGCTTGGGAAACGAATGTGAGAGAGGTCAAACCGCCATAGACCATTAGTATCATACTCGGACTTTTTCTTTTTCTTTTTTGTAAATGGGCCATAATTTGCTTTTTCCATTAGGGACCATTATTTGTGGGCCATTCTGTGTTGCCATTCAAGGCCCAAACTTAGTCGGTTAGAAATTCATGAGCCTCTCAAAATTTTACGAAGCCCAAATCTGTATCATATGAATTATGAAACGCTACAAGAATGAAAATAGGGCTCTTTCTCTTTTCCATTGCTTCGGAATTCTGAATTCAACATTGAACTTATGAACCGTGAATCCGTGATCATAGGCTTTAGTTGAAGCTCCCATCTTCGACTCTGGTACATTCAATGTTATTTTACTTATCATTTTCTTTGCCGCAAGCTTTATAAGATTGCGATATTGAAATCTTTGGTTCTGTTACCTTTTTTTTCCCCGTTTTGTTTACACTGTTTTTGTTCTCTCTCTCTCTCTCTCTTTGTCGAATCTTTTTTTTTGTTTCGATTTTGTGATTTTTTTTTCTGAAGAATTTATCGAATGCATTTTTTTTTTCTGAACAGAATTTATTGAAGGCACTTGAGTTTAAGCTTCGTTGTTCAAACGGTTGTTAATTACTATGCTGCTTTATTATTAAGTCTTCACTGTTAATTGTATTGCCTAAATGGTGAAATAGAAAGTGAATTCGATTTTATTTTACTAAAGAATAGTGTATTTAGAAGGGCCAGCTTGGCTCAGCGGTAAGCTTGCTTGCCGTGGTGTGTCAGGTCGCGGATTCGAATCAGCCTCTCTGCAAAAAGCAGGGGAAAGACTGCCTAGAGTATTCCCTTCCCCAGACACTCACGAAGTGGGTATTTGAACTGGGTCGGCCCTTTAAAGAATAGTGTATTTGCTGAAAAGAGTAACGGATTTGTTGTCAACAGGGAAGCAGAGGTAATTGCTTGGAACAACAAATTGATGCAATGAATCAGTGATACTATGTTACTTAATTTTAATGGCTAGATTTGTTGGCGTATCTAAGTTAGTTTACTTGTAGATTTATTTGTTTTTTGTGATTTTGAATAAAACACATGCTTAACTGATGTCACTGTTTAACCATAATCAGCCTGTGACCGGTTCCCTTCTTCAATTCACTCAATACTGAATCTGGCAACTTAGAGTGTAGACCATGCACAGTAGAACTACTGCCAAAGCTCCAAAGAAGCATGGAAACGACTCAAAATCAAACTTTGCTTCTCTAGAAAATAAGTATGCAGCCCCCTTGTTTCTTTATATATATGTATATATGAATTTCCTATTGTATGTGGATCAACTTGCAAGTTGTAAATTGTTTCTGGCTTTTAGTCATTGTTCTGTTATTATTGATGTTGCTTTCTTATCTTATCATCGTTTTCTTGGAGTAAACTCTTGTTTCATCTTTGTTACTCTCTGCAGCTGCTATGAAGGAGGACGTCTCATCAATCTGCTCCAATCAATCCGTAGGTAAAATACAAATTTTTCATATATTTTGCTTCATGTTTTAATCAATCTTCCAACATGTTTTGTTCCATAATACTGTTTATCAAAGCTGAAATGGGGAGGCCTTGGTGAAGATTCATTTAACAGTTTAAAGAGTGAACCAGTGAACTACTTTCTGTTCAGTTGTGGATGTAATCAATAATTGTGTAGTTTCTCTCCTGATCTTACGGATGGTTATTCTAATTAACAGGGAGATCGAATCGGCAAGACATTCAGATGGAAGTTCCTTGCCAGAAAAGATATGGTTAAAGGTTGAACTTCAACTTGATTTATGGAACTATAAAACATACGGGTAAATTTAGTAGGAAGCTTATCTAGTCTTATGACCTTTCTGTGGTTCCTTGCAGCAACAATTTTCTATTGGGGTCAATGATGTAACTCGTGTCCTTGAGCGCATGGAACCGTGCTCTGAGTTGGGAAGGTCTGCTCAACGCCTCCCTTTAATCAGAAGCAATCATAGAACATCTATAGTTAAACTTCAGGTTGATTTCCTCTATTCTGCTATGTAGAATATTTAAATCTTTAGTTATTACATATTTAGTACCTGCTCCATTTCTTTTTAGTTCATCACTTTAAGTAAATCCTTCAATTTTCTTTTTAGTACCTTTACATGATGCTGCAGATAGCCAAATGCCATTAGTTAGGCTTTTCGTTTTTGCTGACCCTTGCAAATAATAAAAGGCGATAATGCACATATTGGCAGCTGAATTGTTTTTTCTCACATTGCTCACAATAGGTTTTCGCTTGTAACATATGGACAAGTTTGTAACAAATCAGAATTCCAAAATGAATGAATTCATTGTTTATATGCAACCGTTGTTTTGTTTGTGTTTAGTAGAAGTTATGTATGCCTTCTTTTGGTGTGGGCTTGTGGCTTTGTTTTATGTAGTCCTAAAGATACATTGTTTACATCTTATGTTATGCAGGCTGTGCTTGTAGCTTCAGACTGTAACCCACGATTGCTGACAAAGCATCTGCCAAGTTTGGCTTCATCAAGAGGGGTACCCCTTATATTTGTTAGAGATAATAAAGAAGGTTCTTTGAGATTAGGCGAACTTGTTAAATTGAAAACTGCCGTTGCTATTGGGATTAAGGTAAGCTCCTGACCTCTCACTAGATGTAGTAGTTTTATTTACGCGAGAGAAATTATTTGGCGAAATCAGAATAGCCTTCCTCGAGGAATGACCAATTTACATGGATTACTGTCCTAATTTTCAATATTACAATCAATGCTACTCTTGCTATTGAACTTACATTTCAAATTTCTTATTGTAGAATAATCATACTGGATTTGGATCCTCTCATGTGAAAAAAAATATGACACAATCATGTGGAGAATCATAACCATACAAAAGTGAATCAATAATAATAAAGGAAGAGAGAAAAAAAATATTATAATAAGTACTTACAAAATCATAATTGTTGATTTATCTTTTTATGGTTGTAATATTTCTGTGTGATCATATCATATTTTTGTTCCACATAGAGAATCTATTTCCAATCATACTTGAGGACATTTAATGGCAATTTCCCACAGGTTTGTAATGTAATAATAAATAGGAAGAGAACTTGTTGCATTGTTGGAAACAGGCAAGAAATCCATGTTAATTTGTCCCGGTCTCATATGTCTGTATTCTCTTTAAGTTATTTTGGGTTTACCTTACTCTCTTTTTTTTAAAGGATTTTAAAGTTATTCATTTTTCAATGAATGCAGGTCAAAGGAAACACCATTAATAAAATTGTGGAGGATATTATTCTAGGCGATGAATTTAAACCTGGACTTGATGGGCCTAATTCAGCTCGAATATCTGACGTGCAAAATTATTGTCATGACACTGACAGATAAAGTAACATACTGGATGTAATTTAATCTTGGCATCGCATTTTACTGGCGCTGTTCTCATTCCTTCTATTTATTTATTTATTTATTTATTTTGGTGGTGTGCAAAAATGATGTAGTTCTTTATTGTTGGCTGCCTTTACATTTTTAAATTTCTACGCATCTTGAGCATCATAATTACTGTTACAACCCCGGTCATATATATTCGCAACAATCGCTGTATTAGGAACTAGAACTTGATGTCGAAGGCTCAACAGTGCCAACCGGATTTGGGTTGCTATTAACCCGAGTGCGCGCATTACGTTTTTCCGACTTCTGATTTTCCTTTTTATCCTGATCTTGCTTTACAAGCACTGGTTGGAACTGCCAAAAGTTCAATTGCAAAGAAAAGAAAGAAAGAGGGAGGGGTTAAGACGAATGGAAATATCATATGCGGCCACCACAAAAATTATAACAATAGACAAGAATTAAGAATAATGCAAACCTGATATATAGAATATATAACATTTCTTCTTATTTGTGCCATCATCTCCAAGAAAAGATTATAGCCTTCAAGCTTATATTCGATAAGTGGATCCCGCTGTGCATATCCCCGTAAACCCACAGCTTGCTGGACAAATTTTATTGCTTGCAGATGTTCTTTCCACAGACGATCGATATTGCTCAATATCAGGAACCGCTCTGCTTCTTTCATCAAGCCAGGTGCTTGTTGCTCCACAATATCCTATGGCAGCATTTGGTAAGGAAAAATCAGAAGAAATAAATGGAAAAGAAAATTATGTGAAGACTCACAGCCACTGAACCAATTCATGGCAGATACTAAAAGATCAAACATTAGATTGCACGACAGTTATAAATAAGTAAAAGTTTGATCCTTCAACATCCCTCCCCACCTCCCAACCTAAAAAAATGTTAATCAAATATTAAGTGACTCCCAAACTGACCCTTTTCTGCAGATAGGCTTCATAACCGCGTTCACGGAGATAATTTCGCAATTCTCCATATTCTGAACACTTGCTCCTCAGCAATTCAGGGTTTAGATCATTCAACATGTAACAATATCTGAAAGATAAAACAAATATCTTATGTCAGCAAAATTATTAGATCGAGACATCAAACGACAACATGCACTAGTTAATATCAAGTACAGAAAAGGGAAACCACATCATCAACAACCCCCCAAGCACAATTTAAAAATCCAGACCAAATATTCAAGAGATTGGCATAGGGCTTACGGAGGCATGCTTCTCATTTTGACTAGTTTGGACTTAGGACCTGCATTTAGGGAAATTAATTCCTTAATTTCCCTAAATGCATCAGGATTGGGTGAAGGCTGTGTTCTTAATTGATTGAGGAAAAACTTAATAAAAATAACCCGCCATCCCATTTAATACCAAATATAATTAAAGAAAAAAAGCTTACATCGAATTGGGAAGGCTTCCGGATCAGAATATGACCTATTCAACTTATTAAACTGATGGTCTAATTGGATATTTTCAAACGAAAAAAATTAAATAAAAATAAACATGCAAGGCATTCTTTCTTTTTTTCTTTTTTAATATGGATAGGTTTATTACATTATTTATAGGGAAATCAAAGTCTCCTCTTGGAGTAATCTTAATTTTTCTCCTGCTCTCACCATAAAAAACCGTGTATCCCTTTTTTTCTTGTTTTTATATTTAGGTGGGCTCCACCGTTTTTTCTATCTACGTGAGAAAAATGGTCTCTGTCTCTTCCTATCACCCATTAACCCCTTATTTATATAAATAAATTTGAAGATATTTTGATTTTTATAAATAATCTAGTATTCATAAATGCAAAAAATGTATTTTAAAACAGTTTTCAATAACGTTAAACCAACGAAGTTGTAGGTTCTCTTGGTTGGCTGTTCGCCTTGTAATTAGTGAGCTGCTATAATAGTTTGTTGGATTTCTTTTTTCAATGCTAAGCTCAAGCCCATTGAAGAGTTTCCTAAAAACCCTAAACCTTAAACTCTAGATCTCACCTCTTCTATATATTCATTAGTTGTGGGTGGCGGCTAGGTTAGAGAGAAAAATTTGAGAGAATTTTTTTTGAGAGATTTGAAAGCAAAGCTTCAAGCTTTGTATTTAAGAGATCTCTAGAGAGAGTTTGAGTGAAACATCTCTAGGGTAGTTTGATTATCACCATTGTTGGAGAGGTTGTGTTAACCACCACATTGGTGTATTTTGATTCTCTGTATTCATTATTTTCATAGTGGACGTTTGATCTGGACTAGGTCCCGTGAGTTTTTACTTCTTCATTAGAGAAGGTTTTCTCACATTAAAATCTGTTTGTGTTCTCCTTCTCTCTCTCTCTCCTGTTTGTGTTTTTGTTTTCCGGTGCGCTGCCCGACCTGGTGAAGTTCAGGCCGAGGTAATTGCCGAGATTCGAGATCCAGGATCTCATTGACTGACTTCTGCAAAGGCTGTTTAGCCGACTTGAGGGAATCGAGTTCCCAACAGTGGTATCAGAGCCCGAGTTCGACGGGTTCTGAGGGAGACGAGATGGAGACTAGTGGCATAACCCATGATGGAGACATGTTCAAGCAGACCGCAGACAATTTCACCTATTGGAGACCGACGATGGAAGATCATCTCTACTGCAAAGATTTACATGAGCCCATTATCCTTGATGAGAGATCGGCAAGCAAGACCGATAAGGAGTGGGAGATCCAGAGTCGTAAGGCAGTAGCTACAATTAGAAAATATATAGACAAGAGTCTCTTTGAGCACGTGTCCGAGTTCACGGACGTGTACGAGTTGTGGACGAAGCTAGAGTCCATGATTCAGAAGAAGACTCCCAGGAATAAAGCACACCTGGTTCGTCGACTTGTCAAGCAGGAATACAAGGACGACATGAGCATGATTTAACACCTCAACACCTACAAAAGTACTGTGAATCAGCTGTCAAAGGCTGAGATGAAAATTGATGACGAGATGCAGGCTTTGCTGCTGTTGAGCTCGCTGCCAGAAAGCTGGGATACTCTGGTGGTGACCTTGAGTAATTCGACTCCAGATGGAAAATTGAAGATGGATGTCGTGACAGACAACCTCCTGAACGAAGAAGCCAGGAGAAGAGAACGAGGTGTTTCAAGCAACGTTTGAAGCCAACATTGCTGAGAACAGAAGAAAATCCTACTCTCAGGGTAGAAGCAAAAGTCGGGGTCGAGATTGTGATAGAAGAGGAAAGTCCATAGGTCGGTCAAAGCCGAAATATGAGTTAAAATGCTTCTACATTGGAAAGACAGGTCATAAGGAGCCAGACTGCTGGACTTTGCAGAATGACGAGAAGAACGGCTCTGTGAAGCCGGATCAGATTATTCCCAAGAAGAGGGAAGACAAGAGCACCACTGCGGTGGCTGCCAACCCAGATGCCGAGATATTCCTCCTACGTGAGGATAATTATTTGAATGTTGCATATGATGACTGCACCTGGATTGTTGACTCTGATGCCTCCTTCCACATTACTCCACACAAAGGTTTTTTCTCCTCTTACTGAGGCGGTGATTTTGGAGTCGTGAAGATGGAAAATCAAGTGACCAACAAGATTGTTGGTGTCGATGATGTAACCCTGATCACAGATATCGGATGCTGACTTGTGTTGAAGGATGTGAGGCATGTACCTGACATGCGTTTGAACCTAGGTAGGCAAGCTTGATGATGCCGGGTTAGTGAACTACTTTGGTAGTGTTAGATGGAAGCTGGCCAAGGGAAACTTGGTCGTGGCCTGAGGTAAGAAGGAAGGCTCTTTGTACGTGATACAAGGAAAGATCAATGGCGAAGAAGCCAATTCTGTCCAAGATGGACCTAGCTTGGAGCTATGGCACAAGCGCCTCAGCCACATGAGCGAGAAAAGGGCTCCAAATCCTAAACAAGAAAGGATTACTGACCGGATTGAAAGGCCAAACGTTGGAGAGTTGCACGCACTGCCTAGCTGGAAAGCAGCACCGGGTTTCTTTCGTGAAACCAGATCAACCCAGAAGACGCAGGTATATTCTTGACCTTGTCCATACTGATGTTTGCTCCATGTCGGAGAGATCTCTTGGAGGAGCTCGGTATTTTGTTTCATTCGTCTAAAAACCAGGTACTCCAATCCTTTAAAGAATTTCATGCTATGGTTGAAAGGGAGACTAGCAAGAAATTGAAAGTGGTCCGATCTGACAATGGTGGTGAGTATTGCGACCTTTTTGATGCATGCTGCAGAGTGGCCGGGATCCGACTTGAGAAGACGCCCCCCAAGACTCCACAGTTGAATGGACTGGCTGAGAAGATGAACCAAACTATTGTAGAGAAGGTACGAAGCATGTTATCCATTGTCGAGTTACCGAAATCATTCCGGGGAGAAGCCGTCAGAACTGTTGTTGACTTAATCAACCTCTCACCATCACGGCCACTTGAAGGAGAAATTCCACAAGAAGTCTGGACAGGTCGGAAAGCAGCCTATAATCAATTGAAGGTGTTTGGATGCCGAGCTTTCGTGCATATCCCTAAAGATGAAGGGACAAAACTTGATGCGAAGACAAAAGACTGCATCTATCTTGGTTCGCCGAGATGTAAGTTCAGGTTCCGACTTTGGGATCCAATCAATAAGAAGATGGTGAGAAGTCGAGATGTGATTTTTCATGAAGATGAGACTATTCATGACATCTCGAAGCTCAAAGTCCGGGTTATTGTTAGACGTGAAGAACCCGTTCCTCCTGTCCGAGCTGAAGCATGGGGAGAAAATCAAGAAAATCAAGAAATTGATGACCATCAACAAGCTGGTGATGACCAAGATACTGAGGTCCGAGTTGATGATGAAATTCAGGATGAGAATGATGAACCTGGTTCTCAAACTGAAGAACAACCGAGATATCCAACTCGAGAAAGAAGACCCTCTACAAGATACCCATCTGATGAATACACCGTTGTAGCTGAAGACGGTGAGCCTCAGAGTTATGGTGAGGCAGTGACGAGATCAGAGAAAGAAGAATGGAAAAAGGCAATGCAAGACGAGATGAAGTCTCTGCACGAGAATCAGACTTATGAGCTGACCGAGTTGCCAAAAGGAAGACGAGCCCTGAAAAATAAAT